CACCCACACCCCACCAACACCCACATCCACACTCTTCTTTGTATTTGATCACTAGAGCACTAAATACATTGCACACATGACTAGATCCATCGAGTCCAAAATTGTTTTGGGTGTGGGTGTGGATAAATAGATCAGAACACCCACACCCACACCCACACCCAAGAATGGTAAGACTATCAGTTGGATTATTAAAATAATCCAACTGATAGTCTTACCATTCTTGCGAAGGACTCAGATTTGATAGGTAACATTCATCGATTATTTTTCTAATATCAGAATACCTTTTTTTTATATCTAATAGTATCAGTTGAAATGAGGGAAACAAGGAATCATCGCTATTTGCAACTCATGAGAATAATAGTTTAAGTGAATCAGATAAGAACGCAACTCTCAATAATGGTAAATTATTGTCTAAAATGCCGAAACTATTTAATTTTTTTTCTTGTTCAGATTACCGTTTGTCACTACATCATGAAGAAATAAACGTTGGAGATAATTTTTCATCGTCCGACTTGAACTTGAATATGACAAACAATAATGAAACTCAATGTGACAATAATCAATCTACAGTTTCATCACAAACATCTACTAAAATATTAAATCAATCAAATAAGATTTTTGTACCAATTAAAGGTGTTAGATTTATCAATTCACATGGAATAATTTTTCTTGAAGCACATCGTGCTAAATATCCTCATATACAATGGAGTCCACCTGCTAATCTACCACAAGTGAAACCCAGTCCATCATGGTTTTCAAGTGACTATCCATGGCTCCGGGCCATTTATTCAGAGGACCATTATGGTTTATTATGCATTGACTGTGTCGAATTTGCATCAAATGAAATGGCTGTTAAAAAGCTAAAGGTGCATTTGTCGTAAAGTCATACTGGAAATTAAAGCATAAAGGATTGGCAGGTAAAGTTATAGGCCTAAATGATCATAAAGCTTTTTTAATTTCTTATAACCAGGAATAAAAGAACATAAAAAAAGTGATCTTCATCGAACATGTGTTGCTCGACGAGCTGCACCCAGAATCGTGTCAATCAATGGTAGTGTAGCTAAACAATTACTGTGTGTCAATCTAGATATTCAAACACGGAAATATCTTGCAACCCTCGTTCAAACATTTTGGTACATTATTCAAGAAGAAATAGAATTAGTGAAGTTCAAGTCATTAATCCAGCTTCTTCATCGGGTTCAATGTCCCGATATTGTCGAATGGTTTAAGATTTCTAATGTAAAAGAGCGGTAAGTTTGGATCCTTTCCAGTAGAAGGCGTAGCTACTATTTTCTTTTCAGCTATTGGAGTTGGGAAGCAATAACAGAGTGGCTACAAAGTATCGATAAATATCTTCATCATCTGCAAACTTTATCCATTCGAAAAACTCATTTTATCAATATTATTATGGATGAAACAACAGATATAACTACTAAACAAATTCTTTGTTTATGTTTACGTTACGTGGAGGAAGATACAGGGCATATCCGTGAAGAAGTTTTCATGTTAAAACCAATTGTAGATCAAAGTGGACAAGGTAAGCAGTTCCATCAGAACGAGCTGACAGTTTTTCATCTGTTTTTACTTAGGTATATTCCATGTTGCACAGCAGTTCATCGAGTATCTTCAAAAAGAAGCGGATAAAGAACTGATTGTTACAGCACAAACATATGATGGAGCTTCTTCCATGAGGTATCAAGCACAAGGACACATTCGTAGCCGTTTATCGGCGTGGGCGTTTTATATTTATTGTCGATCACATCTTTTAAATTTAAGTGTTCAAGATGCAATCGAAAATTCAATGTTTGATGTCTACGACACCGTCCAATCGACTTTGGTTTTCTTACGTGATAGCCCACGTCGTCTTCAAATATTGTTTGAAAGTCAAAAGTTAATTAATTCCAACAGAAAAGGTAAGTTTTTTCCAAGATACATCGCAACTCTTATGAGAACACTAGTAGTGATGAGCCAAGATGCGAAAACGAATATTTTTTGCAAAACATTTACAATTAGCTATTTGAGTATTATCCTTTAATATTTCATTCGAATAAATATAATAAATAAATATATACTTAATTATACAGCTAATTTCTCATCACCGTTATTATTTTTATTAGAACAAACTGTTCCTAAATCAAGTGATACTCGCTGGTCTTATGCTTACGAAATCTTACAATTTATTTGTGAACATTACGTAGCTGTTGTCATATCACTTTCGACAATATCACAATATAAATCAAATGGATCATCCGATGGACGTCGATTTGCATTCGATTTATTGAAACCTGAGATAGCTTTTCAAATACATATTATGCGTGATGCATTACGTCCAGCATTAAAGTTTTTACGCCAAATCGAAAAACGTGGATCCTGTTTAGACGATTTTTCAATCAATGTCGATGCTGCTCGAAATACCATTATGAAGTCAGTTGAAAGATTCGACTTTAATCATCTACGAACAATATTAAATGATGTTCATAAATATTTGCCAGTGATACAACCAACATCTCGATCAACACGCTCTCAACTTCAATCATCATCTACAGATTTCGATGAATTAGAATTCCGCAATATAGGTAAAGAATTTATTGATCATTTTCAACTATCTTTTGATAACAGGTTTAATGGTGAAGCTAAAGAATTAATCGAAAACATTGTTATGTTATCATCGCCGTCAAAGTTTTCAGCTGAACAATTACTTCAAAATGAATTGATAATTAAATATAGTTCTCCAATAACTTATAAGCATGCTGCTGTGGATCGACAAATATATCAACGTACTGATATACCACTATTAAATTATCAACAACTAGAAGAAGAAGTGTTTGCATTTCTTACAATTATAGGTGATCGCACATCTATTGCAGCAATTCTTGAACGTCTTGCACTCCATGGGAGTGAGCAATGTTCGGAATGGTATAAATTGTATCAGATTTTAGGAACATTCGCTTTAGGATCCAACGAAGCTGAACGAACATTTAGTACGTTGAGACGGGTCAAGTCATGGTTACGAAACTGCTTGAGTGATTCAACATTGCAAATTTTAGTGAAGATGTCAACTCTTAACATCGATTTAACTGACGATGGTATTAAGTTTATTATTGAAGATTTTATCAATAATCCAAAAAGAGCTAATAGTCGGAATATTAATGTATTTATGGAAAGAAATAACGAAAATGAATTCAATGATGATATTTAAAATTGGTATTTGTAAATAAGTATATTTTGTGTTTGTTTTTTTTTCTTTAATTAAGAATAAATAAATAACTTGACTTAATTCTCCTAAGTACTTACTATTATATAATCGTCACTGTACAATCTTATGATAGAATATAAATATAAAAACAATTTTTAAAAACGTCTTCTGACATCAAAAAGAAAAGCAAATTTTCGTTCGCGAATACTCATAAAAAACTACATTTAGTTGCACATCGAAATTTTTGATGGCAAGAACTGTCTGCGAAAAATTATTAGCCCCCGGCACTCTTCAAAACAATCGAGAGCCCTGAACGATGAGAATCATTCACCATCGTCTTTTCATGACATAAAATAACCTTTTTCTTCTTTTCAATAATTTATTCATTCAACTAATCATCTGTCCTTCTTAAACGATTAATGTTTCCTAAAATAGCTATGAATAGTGCTTTGAGCAGAAATTTCTGAATCAAGATAGATGTATGTAAGCTTGGACTCAATTTCATTTATAGCTTGATCAAGTTGAGGATATTGTGAAACAGAAAATGAGTCTCTTTGTGATAAAGAAGGTTCAGAATCCTTTATTAATTCGATTTTTTTAGTCAAAGGTAAACCAATGCGTCTTAGCATGATTAGATATAACTAACTGTTCTCACAAAGTGACGAAATATTTCATTGATAACTATTTTTACTAAGAATTTTTTTTTCTTAATACGAACAGTTAATCCACCGTGTTCTTATGTGATATTTGATTGTTGATTTCATATGTAACACGCACAGTAGAATTTTTTCCTTGTTCTGCACGTGAATGGTAGAACATACGTTGCTCACATTATGGAGATCGTTGTTACTTACGGGACTGATAAAAAAATGCTCACGGTTCAGAATAAGAAGGTACTTATATAGAAAGGTTTTGCTGCATAACCAAAGCAAACAAACATATTGAGAGATCAAGCAATGATTGAAATTGGATCACCTCGAAGTGGTCTGATTGCGACCAAGTCGACTCAAGGCGGTTGAGTTTTAGGATTTCATCATGTTTACTCTATGAGTAGACAATAATAATTCAAATAAATCTGGAAAATTTGCAATTACTCGATTTTTCAGAAAAAACCAATATTATTCGCACTAAAGGGTAAATTTGAACCAAATTTAACGTATATTTTATGAGTTTGAATGCATTCTGTTTGTGACCATATCGTGAAAAAAAATTACAAGCGATAAAACGTAATTTTTTTGTATCTTCACCTACACCCACATCCTATCTGCTTTGCATTTATCTTCGTACAGGTAATTCATAAAAGATAATAAAGATTGTTTTTCTTTCAAGAAGTATTGTTGATTAGGCTCTAATAATCAAAATAAAAATTTTCTTTGATTTAATCTAATCAATTTTGAAAGGTGGAAAAGAACATTGTACAATATACAGTTATGTTGCACTCTTCCGAATTCGATTCATTTCTCTATCGAAATACTGCATTGCATTTTCCTCATTTTTAATTCTTTCTAACTTGATTTTGATAATAAATTTCATCATTATGAATCATTTACTGCACTTTTATACTGAATAATTACAATAAATTTCGTTTTAGCCCTCTCAAAATTTATTTGAATAAGTCAACAGCATCTTTTGTTTTGAATATTGTGAAGACTTGAACAGCGTTCGGTTGAAGAGAACTCTTCAAGTTTTTATGTTTTTATTTTTATTTTCTAATAGTCCATTAAAATAAATCAAAAGGATTTTTTTCATACAGTTGTTATAAGAAAATTCGACAGTATATCTTTTGAAAAATGCAAGATAGCTTTATGTTTTTAATATAGAACTAAATATATAATAAATTAAGTTACAAACATACTTTGGTACATGTGTTAAATGAAAATTTATTCAAATTCATAAAAAATCTTCTAGATTCGAAACAATAAAAGAATTTATATCGATGAATTTACTCGTAATGACCATTTTTTGTTTTGATTGTTGAAGTCTAAATTAAACGAAAACAAACTAAAACAATAGAATAAAATTAATATACACTTACAAACAAGATTTTGTTTCTCAAGCATTTGTAAATGATTACAAACATTATGACAAGCAGCAGAAAATAATCCTTCAGGTAAATCCTGAAAAGACAAAAGAAAAACAGATACTGATAGAATTAACGTTATGAAAAACTTTAATTAGAAAAGTTTTCATTGTCATAATTTTATGTTCGTTCATTTGCAATCTTAAGAGAATATGAATACAGTCATTTCAGAGCATTAGATAATTATAAAGTTGCTTTTGTTTTTTCTTATATAGCTGTTGTTAATTTTCTCAAAAAAAACTTCCTGTGAAATTCATTTAAGAAAAGAATTTCAGAATTTATATTCTATACATTACCGTATAAACAATTTTTGTTATTTCATTTGGATCAAGTCCATCATTTGATTGTTTTAATGCATCAAGTATTTGATTATTTCGTTGTTGACGATGAGATATGTAATACTCAAGAGCTTCTCGAGGATTTTCAACGATTGGACCATGTCCAGGATAAATTTTTCTTGGTGAAAGATTAAGAAGAAGTTTAAGAGAATTTAAATAATCATATAAATCTTCAAATTCAGTTGTACCTTGACCAAGTATAGTATCACCAGAAAATAGAGCTTGTTCTTCTTCAAGCCAATAACAAAGATGATCAGTTGTATGACCAGGTGTATGAATAGCTCTTCAATAGAATAGAAAATAATATATTGACTATATACAATATGAAATACTTTAAATGTGCTCCTTCGGTTTCGATTGTAAATTCATCTGTACCATTATTAATAAATGTAAAATTAGCAATTTCATCTGGATTTTCTGGCATAGAATATTTTTCAAGTATAGTTGAATTAGGCATTTCGAAAAGTTTACGTTTATAAACAGGTAAATTAGCTAGAAATAATCGAATATTTAATAGTATTATATTATGTCAATATTTACGTTTATTAATCAATTTAAGAATATCTTTAATACCATAAATATGATCAGGATGCCAATGTGTAATAAGAATTGCTTGTAATCCAAGATTATTTTTTGTCATAGTATTTTTAAGTTCATCAACATAGGCTGGAACACCTTGACCAGCATCAAGTAAGATTCGACTGAAAATTATAATAGAAATCTATATATATGAAATATTCATAGATAATTTTCTTGAATATTTTTTAATATGATATTTCTTTGTAAAAAAAAACGTACTAAAAAAACGATTACATACTTTCGACCTTTTCCAATAAGATATGTATTTGTACCTTGTAATGTCATCGGACTTGGATTACAACCAAGTACACGAAGAACCAATGGTGAAAGTTGTTCAACAGTTTGAAGTTTAACAAGATTAGTTGTCATAATTAAATGAATTTTCTAATTAAGAAATAAATATTTTTTTTTTTAATATTGTTCAATTTTTATGCTAAGTATAGCGAATTTTTATTAAAAAAAAAATGTCAAAATACTTTAAATTACATGATTATGTATAAAGTGGAAGAAAAAAAAAACATGAAAATCTAATATTATTTAAATCATTGATTTTGGATTGTTACTATCGAATCCTCCTGAATTTGTAACTTTTAATGCATCATTTTTTTCTTCAATTAATTCTTTTTCTGTTTTATCAATCATTTCTCGTGACCAATCATCCAATTTAAGATCTTGAATAATTGAAAGTTTACCATTTTTAATATGTACTGGATAACTAAATACAAGTCCTTTTTCAATATTATATGAACCATCACTAATTACACCCATTGAAACCCATTCATTCTAAATTATTTTTATAATAAAAATAAAATAAATCAAAATCAATACTTTCTTATCGTACATCTTTTGTTCCTTGCCACCAATCTCGCATATGATCACAAATAGCTTTAGCTGCTGACATAGCACTTGAAAGTTTACGTGCAGCAATTACAGTAGTACCACGTTTTTGTACAGTCTAAGGCAAAACAGAAAAAACAAACATTATTATTCGATTTCATTGATCGATCTTTTCATACAGAAATAAATTCATTTTTAAGCCAATTATCATTTCGAACAGCATCATAAACTGATGTTTCTTTACCATTAATAAGTACAATTGCTGAACGAACATCAGGAAATTGTGTTGATGAATGATTACCCCAAATAATAATATTTTTAATTACATCTGGTGATATTTTAAGTCGAGATGCTATTTGAGCTTTTGCACGATTATGATCTAAACGTGTTAAACACGTAAAATTTTCACGTGGAATTGATCGAGCATAATGAGACAAAATATAACAATTTGTATTAGCCGGATTACCAACAACAAGAATCTAATGAAATAAATTTAACGAATTATATATAGATATAAAGTATATACTACATATACTTTAACAGATTTTTTTGCAAATTTATCAAGAGCAATACCTTGTGATTTAAAAATTTTCACATTAGCACTAAGTAAATCTTTACGTTCCATGCCTTCTTTACGTGGCATAGCACCAATAAATAAAGCAATATCAACATTTTTAAAAGCTATTTCTTCATTATCTGTTGATATGACATCTAAATGAATAAACGAGTATAATTATCTAACATTCATAGAAGACATTACTTTTAACTAAAGACAAATTAGTATCTTCAATTTCCATAATAAGACCTTGAAGTACACTCATCATTGGTGTAATATCAAGTAAATGAAGAATAATATTCTGAATACAAATACAATTTCTAAATATTTTAATAATTTTAAAATAAACTAAACTAACTTGATCGTTTCCAAAAACATCACCATTACAAATCTGATGAATTAATGAATAAGCAATTTGACCTGCAGCTCCAGTTATAACTATACGAATTGGATTTTTGATATCTTTATCCTCAAAAATATATGTTATTTTGTTTAGAAGTGGTATAAAAAAGAAAAGAATAATTTTTCCTCTCTTACTGATGATGATGCCATTGTTAATTAGTTTATATTTAAATGAAATCTTAAAAAGGAAAAATAAAATACAAAGTCCAGTATGACAAGAATAAAAACAAAAAGCGTTAGATATTTTCAAGTTTATATTTAGAATTTGTTCGAAAATAATATTATTTAATATGACTTTTTTACTTAAATAATAATTTACAACGAAATATTTTATTGAATAAGCTAACTATAATGCCAAAAAATAAAATTTTATCGGTATTATCTTCTCAAATTAGTATTTTAATGACTGAAATCAAAATAAATTATTCATAAGATAGTGCCTTATTCGTTTCATTTTTCCAAAGTAAAAGTAACATTCATACATTTCTTTGATTCTTTATTCAAATGCTCTAACGTTATTTCTAAATAATCTTCATTGGTTTAACATACAACCAATAGTACAAGCCATGTCAGCTGTCCTAGCGAAAAAAATGCACTGTATGCACCATCTGGAGTCTCAGTAGGAAACCAAAATTATTCACTTAATAAAAACTAACTTCGTTGTATTTACCTATAGATTCAGTTCAATGTTACTTTTCATTTATCTATGATAAAGAGCTAACTAGAAGATTTGTCAAGAAATGGAGAATACACTTGTAATCTACAGCCATACTGAATAAATTTACGTTTTGAGTTCGAAAAACAAATTCTACGAAAATGTTTATTTCTTTGTATGACTTCAAATAATAAGAATGAGCATCTTCAAAAGAGTGTCCGCAAAAAACAGTTTATCAAAATATAGAATGTTATTGGATAAATAGTTATAAGAAATCGAATACATTATTATTCAAAAAATTTCCTTTTGATAGTATCGATTCTATTTAGAAAAAAATGTTTTCATATGATGGTCTTGATATTTGAACAGTACTTGATGTTAAACTTCTTGCTTTTCAATATGAAACACTAATAATTAATAGATCAGTATATATTAAATGAAAACAAAAACCAAAAAGAATCCTTTGTCGAATATTTTTAAAAAAAAGCATTGATTAGAATAACAAATTCAATAAAATAAACATTGCTTGCCAACAACGACTAACTAAGTATATTAACCCTTAAAAGCCGAATGTCCCTTCCAAGGGACATTTGAATAACTGCAATAAAAACCTTAATAAGACCTTGTATAAAGAAACCAATATTTTTCTGGACTAAGAGGATCTTGGAGGCCATACCGAGATCAAAATATTATTGTCAAGTGACTGTCAGATGGACCAATAGATCTCTTATGATTGATGATCTTTTTAATATCACTTTTTTTTCGTAAATTTTTCTTTAATCATAAATGCAACGTTTAGCCTTGTTTATTTTACGAAATATCCTTAAATATACCATCAAGGTATCTGATGAAACCATTTCTGGCAAATTATACCATCACAAAGAAAATGTTCCTTGGATAAGATATTCAACCTCATAGAAAAATCGAAACAAAGGAATTTTAATATAAAATTTTGCTCATACGTAGCTCTAATGATATTTAGAGTGCTCTGAAATTTTCAACAACAACGCTTGTTTCCTTCTCGAGATACAGAATGTTACAAAAAAAGTCGGTTTTAGGCAGGTTTTTGCAAAGTGTGGCCGGTTTTTTTTGGGTATCAAATAACTCAACAAGAAAGCATCCGTTTTGCATGAAAATTTTAGGGTGAGTTGAGGCCTATGAAACCTACTTGCGGGCAAAATTTCAGATCGAAATAACTATCTTTCGGTTTTTTACAAGGCCGGATATGTCCCCTAAAGGGCATTGCATATCTCTGGCAGAAAAGCAAGGTAATTCTTTTTAGCTATAGTATGAGTATACCGAAGGTCCATAATCTCTATTTTTGTGACTAGCTTCCTCCTATTGTAAGAAAAAATCCCTTCGGCCGTAAAGGGTTAACAATATAATCACTTCATCTATGATATGTTTATATTCCATAAAAACCATTGATTTGATGTTTTATCTCAAAAATGCAAATTCTCATATCTTTTCTTTTTTTCTAAAGTTGTATCAAAATTTTCTCGTTTCTAATCTTCATTGTTTTTTTTTTTGTTGTTGTTGAATTAACATAAAGAAAACAGTAACATAAATGTTCTTCATGACTACAAATCAAAATGAATATAAATACATACATATATACTACACATAAACACACTTAATATATGAAAACCTAAGATTGACAAATAATCTACTATACTACGAAGATTGTTTTTTTTTTAATATAATCTTATTTGATAATAAAACAAAAAATTTAGAAAATAATTTGTTCTATATTTTTTTTTTAATATCCAATATTAAATGCTCGAACACAACCAGCTAAATAACATGATACATAAAATTGTGTTCCAGCACGATTTGTACATATACCCGATGGACGTTTAATACGTTCATTTAATTTAAATGTTGTCTTATATTGACCATCCGATGAAAATAACTATAAGACAAAAAAGTAAATTATTATTTAATTTTTAAATAAGAATCTATGTTTTGTTTTACTTGAATACGATCATTTTTACTATCAGCACTAATTATATTTCCACCTGAATCAATAAATAAACCTGATGGATCAATCATTTCTCCATTTGCACGTCCTTGACCACCAAAAACACTTGTACAAGTCAATTCAAATTGATTTCGAAGTTTTGTTCCATAAATTAAACTGCGACCTTTATAAAAAAAAAATAGATAAACAAATCTTCATATATAGTATTTAGTAATTTTTTTTTACATCATTAAAGATTGATCTCTTACAGTTAAAAAAACAATTCCTAAAGATCAGCGTGATAGATGAAGTTCTTGATCGTTACTGAAAGCTGGTTACGAAGATTAAAACAATCATATATCCTCTCTTTCTTTTAACTGTATTAAATTCCCAACAAAACTAATAACTCTTGTGTTTTAGTTCGAAATAACTTGAGATCTTTATCTGCTCATTTTCACAGAACAGAAGACAATAATAAAGGTAACACAAATCAATTCAAAAAAAAAACAAGAAAATGAATCTTTCTGTTGATCATAGTACAAAACCAATGTCTACTCGGTTTGGGTGGATGAGTTTTTTTTTTGTTAATTTAATATTATAAATCTTTCTTTTCGCTATAATATATCGTGTATAATTGCTTTTAACAATAGAAAGAAAATTTCATACCAAGATCAGCAATATAAATATCATCATTTCGTACTGCAATAAATCTTGGTTTACTAGTTGATTCTGGTAAAATTCTTCCTTGTATATGATTAATATATTGTTGTTTTAGAATATTTTCTGATTGACGATTCATTAAAAGATTTTGTTCAAATACTAATTGACCATTATTTGGATCAAATAAAATTAAACGACAATTTTCAGCTGATTGATTATCTATTGCTTTTGAATCAATTGTTAATATATAACGATCACGATATAAAGCAATACCTATAAAAAAAAAAGACATTTTATTAAGAAAATAGAAACGTTTTTTTTTGTCAAATAATATAAACCATATAATTGTTTAATAGATCGATGACCAATTGTTTGTATTAAACGACCATCAAATTCAGTTATATAAATACAATCTCTTTCAACAATTAAAATATTATTACGTGAATCACTCATAACAGCACCTGGACGATGAAATTTCATTTGCTAGAAACAACAACAAAAAAGAATTCTGTTTTTTTTTTTTTTTTGTTCTTTTAAATACCTGATTACTTGAAATCGTATGTTTTAATCGTCCTGTTTGAATATCAAATAATCGAACATTTTGAGCATTACGATGTACATCACATGAAAATAATGTTAATTCATCATATGATAAACCAACACCAATTGGTAAACAATCTGTTTGTGGACTACTTTGTGGTGTACCAAATGTCATACAAAGTTCACCACGTAAATTTGGTCGATCTAAATGAAGAAATTTTCGATTATTTTTTTTTTTTATATTTATGAAAAAATAACTTTGTTTATTTCCAAATTCTTGTATATATTCATCAGTAACATGAGGATGAGTTAATATTTTTGTTTGATCAATACGTGATTGATGACTAGTAATAGAAAGATAATAATCTCTATAACATTAATATATTTTTATAATTATTTGATATTTACTCAATTGAATTTGTAAAACGAGTATTTATATTAAATTGTCGATTTGTATTATGATCATTATTATCATGACTAGATTAATTAAAAAAGTGAAATGATTTTATTTTATTTTATTTTATTTTGTATTTACATAGAAGATGGTATTTGTAATCCTGAAGTATTATTTAAACGAATATTATTCTCATTTAAAGATGTAGAAATTGATGTATCTCGTTGTTGATTATTGATGAATTCATTTCTATTATTTAGATTGACTTTTGATTGAAGATATGAATGATCAGTTTTTATATTTTTATTTAGTAATAATGATGAACTATCTTCATTGTTAATATCAGTTTTTATTGTATCAATAGATGATTTTTCATTAGTTGAATTAATTGAAGTAAAAAGTGATGGAGTTTGACGTGGTGGAAATGAAGCTATATTTACTGGTGGTTTTTTTATTGATTGTGTACTTGTATCTATTATTTCATATTCATTTTGATAGGATACAGTTGACATTGGTCGTGATAATGTTACTGTTGGAATAGGTGTTGAAGATACTGAAAGAGTTTTTATTTGATCCATAAGAGGTTTTGTTGATGATAAAATAGTATTTTGTGATAATCGAGATGATTCTGATCGACTTATTATTGGTGAAGAAAATATGGTTGGAGGCTTATCGATTGGTTTTGATAGCATACTAGGTGGTGGTGTAATTGTTGTTGTTGTTCGATTCGAAGCTATAGGAATATTTCTATTTGCACATCCATTTTGAATCAAAGAGTCTATTATGAAATAGAAATGATCAAAAGTTACAAATCAAAATCAGAATATGTAAAAGTTCTTATTAAATTCATCAGCTACTAATTTTCTTTTTATTTAGAATTTATGAATGAGATGAGTGAGTTGTTTTTTTGTTTCAACTGTATCTATGTTTATATTTCTTTTAATACCTATAAAAAAATTTGACCATTAGCGAATTCTATGTAACGTACATTTGATAAGAAAAATGTTCGTAAGATTGTAATATTCACATAACAAATCGTCTTGTTCATACATTAAAAGAAATCAATTTCAAGTTCTAATGATTAAATATTAAAGAATTATTTTTTGACTGTCAAAAATATATTTAACAAAATTCTTTTTGTTTTGAATAAGTACACTCTTTAAAACAAATATTTATTTATTGAAACTGCTCAAGAGATATATATATCGATAGGAAGCTTTTTGAGAATCTTCTATACCTTAATACTATAAAGTCAGTAGAGAGCTGCAGGTCCATGGTTTTTTGGACCCGGACCCGGGCCCCAGAAAAACTAAATTTTCAGACCCGGACCCGGCCGGGTCTAGACCCGATCCTTTTTTCACCAATATTTGGCACCCTATGTGTACATGAACAGAAAAGGGAACACAATTTTAGCTCTTTATTGGCGACTTTAAAGGTAAAATGAGTGTAAAATTATTTCTGACTGTTTCTTTTTCAATTTTGTTGACTTCAATTGTTATTGTTATATATTTCCATTCATAACTTAATGCAGACCGGGTCTGACTTTTCTCTTAGGTTTAGACCCGGGCCCAGGAAAAGCTAAATTTTCAGACCCGGACCCGGGCGTGGGTCTGGAAGGACCCGCAGCTCTCTAAAAGTCAGTATCATTCGTCATGTCTTTAAATGACTACATTCCTCTTTTTCCGTACTCATTCAAATTCTATTCAATGAAGAGAAATGTTAAACTCCTAGTCTAATCGTCTGTTCATGTTATTGAAGTATGGTTACATTTGGTCATAGACATCGATACTTGTTTTTCAATAGTTTAATGTCACTTATATTAAGATTAGAAAATCAAAAAAGAAAACCTGTTCGTTCATTGATATTTATTTTTGTTTCTTGTTTAGTTGATTGTTGAGTAGAAATAATTTTATCGAATGACATTGTTTGCATTTCTACTGGTAATGAACTAATCTTTTCAAGATTTGTTAATACAGCTAGAAATAATATTTTAACAAAATTAAAAAAAAATTATCAACAACTAATATTGATATAAATACCTGACATATTTTTATACATATCTGTATAAGTTGTATTTTCTATATCTATTTTAATAAAATATAAATTAATTATTTTAATGTAAAAACAAAACAAAAAAGAAAATCATTAAATTTACTTTGTTGTTGAATAATTGCTAAAAGACTTTGATGAGTTGATTCTAATAATTGTGATGATTGTCGAATTGTATTTGGATCAAGCCATGTAAAACATTGATCAATAGCATCTTTAAGTTTAACTTAAAAAAAACAAAAACTTGAACACATCAAAATAAAATATATAAATAGAAATTTGTCACTAGCAAATTGTTGAATATCATCATAGATTAATTCTGATTCAGGTGCAAAACGTGTAAATGTTTGTGAAAGTGATAATAAAACATTAAATGTATCTTGTGGATTGTTATGCATTAATGCAAGACAATCATCTAAAGCTGGCCGAAGAAATGTATTAACTGCATAAGCAAATGGATGAATTCTTTAGGAAAAGAACAAAAAAAAAACCAAAAAATTAATTATAACAAACAAAATATCATACTGATGAGCTAGAAATTTGAAAAGGAATAATTTTGGTCGATCGAAATTATTCGATGATGATATATCTGATTTTATCATTGATACGTTTTTGATAATATAATTATTAGCAAAAAAGAAAAACGACATGTCTATTCCGTAGTCCCTCACTTTTTTTTTACCCATTTTTTAAAATCCAATCGAATTTTCAACTAACTGATATGATTATTATTCCTATTGAGTGCGACATCTTGATTTATATTCGAATCATAATGATAAACTTTCATTTATTATATTTATTCTTGTTGAACTCTTATATTATTTTAGATAATAGATTTCATTCAATTGATTATGAATATTCTAAATATGTATTTTGCAATCCACTTTAGTATCACTTAATGCGTTGTACTCAAAAAAACGAAACATACCAGAAGATGCGGCGTGAAAAGCTCTACAATCTACAAAGAACAATTTTTAAAACAAATCAAATTCTTCTTTTACCAAAAATCAGTCTTGTTTTTTGCAATTTCGAAATTGGATTCCTCTGAATTTTGTCGATCATTGAAAACAAAAAGTGGAACTATAAAATTAGCGGTCCTTGGTAAACTGTAGAGCTTTTCATGCCGCATCTTCTGGTATATTTCGCTTTTTTAATACAACGTATTAAAATATGAGAACATGAAATGAAAAAGTACCCCATTTTTCTATGCCACACCCATTATCATCGAAATACTACCAGCGAGTTTTGAACAAAAACAGTTCTTATCAAAATTTTACTATCATAATATTAGTTGCATAGAAAAATACAGCGAACGACGCTCTATCTGTTCATAAAAAAAGAAACTCTTTTAAAGCTTTCTATAAGAAAAATAAGTGCCTCTGTTACTAGTTTTAGATCACCCTAAGTAAAATGTTATGATCCAGAAAAGTTGATTTGTTCCTATCCTAAAATATCGAACAAGACTTTTCTCTGTGTCAACATTTCTGAACTATGGCGTTTATTTGAAATCTATCCCAGTAGAATATTGATAGCTCATTTGAGTCTAGATAATGCATATAGTCTCGATTCAAAAACGATTGAATAGTTAAAACATTTGCCTTGTGAGTCCTCAAGTCACTTCGCAGTTAATTCGATGAGCTTTACTTAGAGTAATACCGTTCTATTTTCACTAATAAATTATGATTTGATTTACTTGCATCAAAATGATAACATATTATCTTCGAATTCGAGCAATTAAGAATAAAGTTTATCTCAGCATACAAATTCTCTTTTTTATTATAAAGAAAAATATAAAAAACAAAACAAAACAAACATTTTTTTTTTCAAATTAAATATCTGACATTATACACAGTTATATAAAAATAATTGTTTATATTTACATTAAGATTATTGATCAAGTAAAATAGTTTTTGCTATTCGTGGAGGTATAGGTGGTGGTGGTGGTGAATTTGATGATAATATATCACAGTTTGTTGATAAATGATTAACAGTTATCGAATTTGATATGTCAGATGAACCGATTGGAACTTTTTGTGCTAAACTATGTTCATGATTACTACTAATTAGATCAGGTTTAAATGTAATTATTCGTTCTGTTGTGTTTGTCTGAAATAAATAAAAAACAAAGAAAGATTCTTTTCATTTTCAAGTTAAATTTGAAGAATTTACTTGAATTTTAGATGCATCCATTTGATTGTTACTTATCTCAATTGGTAGAGGATTTGTAAGAATATTATTTCGTTTAATTCTATGTGGACTTTTCGCAAGACGAGACATAATACCAGTTCGTGTAGGACTACGTTTTGTTGTAATAACTGTTGATGAATCATTATTATTATTATGAGTAAATAAAACTTTGCTACATGATTTATTATTTGGTGATGTTTTATCAATTCGATTAGGACTAGATGTTGGCGATTTTGGTGGTTTATGACTAATATTATTATCATTAACAGTAAGATGAGGACTTTTTTTCAATGGTGAAATATATTCATTATATTTTGTCTAAAATTAAAAATTTTATCGGAATCAAAAAAAAAAAACTTCATTTTTATTTACCGAATTTTTTTCTGGTGTTATTGAACCATTGTTTTGTTGTTGTTCATCTCTAACAATTGATGTTGCATTTGATTCTCTTGGTGAAATTATAAAATAATCATTTATTATTGTTGCATCTGTATTTAATATTGTTGAATGTTGACGACGAAATCTTGCAATAACAATATTTGAATCTGATGATTCTTCATATTCATTATAAGTTCGAAGTTTTATTTTATATTCACCTTCATCACGTATATAATCAATAATAGTTTCAAAACGACCTGCATCAATAGCACCTTTTAATATATCATCAATATATATACGATAACCAAGAATATTATGATGTTCATTTAATGGATTAGGTATCCAATGAAGAAAAAAACTTTTTGTATTACGTTTTGATATATGTACACGAAGTGGAGGATATAAATTAGAATTCGTTGATTGAATCATCTAGAATAAAAAGACAAGTTTTTAACAATTTAGAATAGAAAATATTTTCTTTTTCTGTTTTTGATAGAATTTTAATATTATATGAAAGAAAAATATATATATCATATAAAAGATGTCTAATAAGTATTAATTATGAGAATTTTCTCACTTTTCTATTAGAAATCTTACATTAAAAAACAAAACATAGTTTGAGCGCAATCAGCATTTATGTATCTTGAGTAGACCCCGTCGGGTCCAGAATTTTTGGACCCGGACCCGATCATTTAAAATTTTTCTACCCGGACCCAACTCGTTTACAGTTTGCTGGACCCGGACCCGGTCGCTTAAATTTTTTGGATCCAAACACAATGACAAGTCAGTTTAGATAGTATAGTCAAGAAGGGTTTTGTTGTTTTTTATCTATTTTCTAAATACATTTGATCTCTTCTTTGTATAAAACGAACAAAACTTTAAAAAAATTCAAAATAAATTGTATGGATCAAAGTTTTCTTCAGACTGGACTCGACCCGGTCTCGGTCAAAGCAAAATTTTCAGACCCGGACCTGGACCCGGACCCGTGCAGGTCCGGGTCCTACCCGACGGGGTCTAATCTTGAGTCTGTGGGTGTTTTAGTAAACCTTACATCATTAACTTCTAGACCAAGACACTCGTTCAATAAAGAATCAATAGTATTCATCACACTTATTATTCAATATTTATTTTTCTGATGTCAAAATAATTCATAAACAGAGTGGAGTGTAGATGTGAATATGATTATTCACATCTACCTACACTCTCAATTCATTCTGCAATAATGAAATCGATGACTTTGTCTCTTGTTGTTAGGGAGATATTTACTAATCTAATTCTTGTAAAGAATCAAAATCAAATGTACTTGAGGGAAATCAAAATTTATCAGACATCTTTTATAACTTGATAAGTATCGTTCTGAGAGGATTGTTGTTATTTTTTTTTTCTCTTACTGATTTTTTTTCATTAGCATTTAAACGAATTTCAAGTTCATGTATACGTTGATTGAGTAATCGATTTTCTTGCATTAATTTTTCAGTTTCATGTTGATGATTTAAATTTTGTGTTTCATACTAAAAAAATGCATAAGAATATATTCATATTATTTACTTTCAATTTTTTACTTTTTTCCAAAGTATAGCTAATGCTGATGTTTGTAATTCTGTTGTTTTTGTAAAACGTTCATGTAAATTTAGATATCTTTAAAATATTATATTATTTTTTTTTTTTTATAAAATAACAAAAAATTATTCTAAACATACGCTTGAAGAATTGATGTTCGCATTGTTTCAACTGATGTAGTTAATCGACGTAATTCAATATTATTATTCATTGTTATACTTTGAATTGAAAGTATACCATTGATAGGAGTTGATTTTAATAGAATTTCATCATCATCTGTATGTTCTAATTTTGAAAACGAAAAAAAAAAATTCTTCAATTTATGTTTTTTTTTTAGTGTTTCTGTTAGTAGAATTTATATCAACAAATAATGATGTAAAGTGACGTAATGTTTGTAATCTTTATTTTTTTTTATTCAATATGAGAAATATTGATTTTTTTTTTTTTGTCAAGTGACTTTTATGATTTTTGTTATATTTTGAAGTACCTGTTGATGGTTGTTGTTCTTTATTTTTGACCTTGGTTATGGTTGTCGTCAAGCAATGTGGATTTTTCTCATGTGAATGATTAAGTGATTGTAATGCGTTGGTATTACTTGAATTGTTTGTTTGATGTTTTACTCGATTGTGATGTTCTAAAATTTCTAAGAAATTCATTAAAGAATGTAAAAAAATTAAATTCTTACGTCTAGCAAGATTTTGATTTGATTTTATATGTAAAACTGATGAAGTAGTTGGTTCAAGTCTAGTTGTTTTTGGTGAATAACGATTAGCATTATAGATTAAATGAGATGATGTTTGTTTAGATTGATGAATATTATTATTTATATGACTAATAATATTTAGGAAAAGATTTTTTTTTTTTTGTAAAATTATTAAATTTACTTATTAACTGGATATTGGTTAAGTTTTGTTTGAAGCATATTTTGATCCAATGGTTTTATAGGACGATTATCATAATTTATATAATGATTATTAGAAGTATTTTCAATTATTTGATCATCAATAGAATTTGTAGTGACATTTGTTGATCTAACATATCCTGGACTTGGTGTTCGCATTTGTTGTTCTGAATATAATAGAAATAGAAAGAAAAATTTTAAATTCAATTCTTGTATTTTTATTATCTTACGATGAATAGATTCAACTGTAGATGAAACATTCAATTTACAAAATTCTGATTCTGATATTAATGTACTTTGTTGAGATTTTTCTTGAGTATCTTAAAAGAGAAATTATTTTTTGTTTTTTTTCCTTAATGAAAAATTAAACAACAAAAAATAAATAAATATAATACTTTTAGATAATGTTTCATTAGCATCTTTCATTGTATCTGATGTTACTATCATGTATTCATTTGAATTCATTTGTTCTAAGAAATGGAAAATAAATTCAATTAGACCCTTTTTTTTTATCTTACCATCACTACTTTTTCGTTGTTGATTATATAAATCTTGTTGAAATATAATACGTGATAAATGTAAATCATCTCTCTTATAAATAAAAGAATTATCAAAATTAAAATTTAAACTTTTTTTTTTACTTCATTTGCATCTATTCCACAAACTCTTGTTAAATATTGAACAAGTTCTGTATGTTCACCAGGTTCAAATGATCGACCTTTACCTTGACTTAATAACCATTCAGCTTTTAAACTATATTATGAATAAAAACAAAAAATATTTAACTATCATTCTTCAATGCAAAAAGAAACATGTCTATTAGCAATAACAGTTTATAAGTTAAAGTAACATTTCAAACAATACATTCTATAATGCTTGATAAAATCTAATTGTGTATACTTACGAGGGAACATATGCAAGTGTAAAATCGCTTTTGAGTTCGGACTCTGTGCATAATGTAGACCCCAATGAGGTATGAAAAACCCTAAAAGGATAAGGGCTGTTAGGTCTTCTGCCCAGAGTTATAGGCATTTTACTAGAATTTTAGCCTATGGCATGATATATACCAACAAATCGAATGATTGTATTTCGACCTGATATTTTGCCCACAGATAGGTCTATATGTGAGTAGAATGCCCTGAAAATTTCAGCTCAAAAGAATATTTCCTTCCCGAGATATCAAAGTCCCAAAAACCACTCATATCCCACGAAAGATGCTAGAATTTACTGGTTTTTGAGACTTTAATATCTCGGGAAGGAAATATTCTTTTGAGCTGAAATTTTCAGGGTATTCTACTCACATATAGACCTATCTGTGAGCAAAATATCAGGTCGAAATACAATCATTCGATTTGTTGGTATATATCATGCCATAGGCTAAAATTCTAGTAAAATGCCTATAACTCTGGGCAGAAGACCTAACAGCCCTTATCCTTTTAGGGTTTTTCATACCTCATTGGGGTCTACATTATGCACAGAGTCCGAACTCAAAAGCGATTTTACACTTGCATATGTTCCCTCGTTAGAACAAGTTAATTAAAGTTTATCAATGCAATTTCATTTCTAAACTAATTCCGTAAGACGTATTAACTCAGCAATATGATAAGGATTATTTGAACATCACGTGATCTGTTTTTTTTTGGGTGATTTGAGACCCTTTATCCTCCTTTTATGATCAAAAATGATAGTTTTAGAACCTCATCACATGATATGAGGCAACGGCTCCTTGATAATCAATAGCAAAACACTTCCTCTTTCGAACGTGCAATTAACATTATCTCTGTTAACGAGCCACGAGTTCGATCATTCTCGGGCCTGAATCCACAGTTCACTACATGTTTGATCTTGTTTACGTAAATACAACTGAAGATTTTAGTGTTACTAATGATTTGGTTAATTTTTTTCGCCAATTCGGTGTGTTCAATTTTCTTTTTTTGATAGCGTAATGCTATTTTCAACAAAGAAAAAAGTTTGAATTTATTAAGTATCGAGTGATGAATAAGTGAAGTACAGAAAATAACTGTACGTAACACTTTCTTTTCTAATAGAACCCAATAAATAGCTAAAATCTCGATGCTTCACTTGTTTATGTATCGAAAGAGTGTCAAATATTGATGAACATTCTATTGAAAAATCACATCATGAACTTTATTTGTATTGATAAATCGAATATTTTCTGATCACACGCACAGTTTCGCTCCTTCATATAATCAAAGATAATCTTTTCGAAATCTTCCTTTTCTAACTAATTATGTAATTTTCAAAAAATCTCATACTAACTCATATGTCATCTTAAGATTACAATATTTAAAAATTTTACCTTTCTTTTCGTGTAATAAATATTCCATCTAAATTATGAATAGATAAACACCAATTAAGAATATATGGTCGATAATCAAATGGTTGATGACAACCATATTTTTCATCTACTATAGATAGACATGGATTATCAATAATATAAAGTGTATTTAAATTGAAAAATGAACATAGATAAGAAATCTTTTTAAAAGAAAAATAAATAAACTCAAAAAAAAAAAAAAACTAAAATAAATTTACTTCAGTTAAATCTTGAATTTCATTATCTGATATAATAAGTGTATGAAGAGATTTTGGCCAATTACGTGAAATTAAAATTAATGTATCAATAAAATTTTTATGTAAATTTAAATACTATGAAAAAGATATATAATAAAAATTAAATTTTTATTTAATTTTTCAAAGTATAATTTACTTTAAGTGTTGTTAATTGTGAAAGATCTTCAATATTTTGTATTGCATTTTCACTTACATCTAATGATTGTAAAGTATGACAAGCATTTAATATTGCAATACTATGTATATTATTATTTGAAATATTTAACATAACAAGATTTTGTAAAGTTCTAAGACCTTAAAAAGACAAAAAAAATAATAATTTTTTTGTTTTTTTCTTTTAATTTACAATCAATTGATTCAATTAAATTATATGATAAATTAAGTTTTTGTAAAGATTGTATTCGATTAAGTAAATGAATATCAATAAGACGATTATGAGATATTGATAACTAAAGAAATATATAATGAAAATATTTTTACTCTTTTTTTTCTTACTTGAATTAATTGTGGAAATAAATCTAAATTTTCAAGTTTATTTATTTCATTATTATCAAATAAAATAATATTAAAATTAATATTATTTGGTAATATATCAATTTTTTTTAAATTTTTTGAAGATAAATCAAGTTTTGTTAAATGTTGTTCTAATAAACGACCATCAATAGAAAATATTAATGGTTGATGTATTCGATTTGATATTGTTGTTGTGATTTCTTGTCTTTCATTTGAAGAATTCGAACTAATTTGACAATATGTCAATGGAAATTTATGTTGTATGACTTGCATTAGAAGACAACAAAAAAAAAATTCTTGTATTTTACATTAAATAATCAATCAACAAAAAAAAGCACTACGAATGATATATATATATGTTTAAATGTAAAGTGATTTAATTGACTTTGTTTTTCTTTTTTATACATTTTCAATTATTTTTCTCGTTCCCGATAGTTTCTTTTTAATTTAAGAAGTATGTACCATATTTTTGAACTAGTCATATCCATAGTAACAATAGTTAAAGTATGAAAATTAAATAAATATTATTTGTAATACATGTTAAGTCTTTAAACATTCATTCTACGTAACTTTCATAAGTAAAATTATATTGATTTGCTAATGAACTGACAGAGATCGCTATATGTCAGTAAAGTTATTGAATAAATGACATATTTTAAACGGCTTTTGGATATTGATTAGGAAGAAACTTGAAGCAATGATGTGTGAGGCTAGTTGAGTTCTTAGGGAGTGAAACTGGAACTACAAGAAATAAAAAGTTCAAATCAGAACTGTGAATTATAGTTGAGTTTTCTATGATTTTTAGTGAATTTTGCTGTAAATTACATCAAACAAAGCAATATTCTAGAGAGGTGACCAAAAAAAAGTGACATTCATTGAGTAAATTAATCGAAACATAAGTGTTTGAGGTAGTTTTAGATTTAACAGGAGTAAACACATCCAGCTCAAATCTGATATATGAATATGTGTTCTACACATTTGATACTTATCATTAAAAAAAACAGGTTTTGTAGACTTTCGTTAGCAATTAGCAGTGCATTAATCTTACGTATACAGCTTTGCACTGGTCTCAACATGTACGGATCGACTAACGGTAAATAGAGTTAGCGCATGATAAAACTATGGTAATTTCAAATCGATTTCGATATTGTAATTGTGAAGGTTATGTCAAGAAAATAGCTGAATTTTATAAACAATAGACTAAAAGTTTTCACAAATCTAAGATCACTATAGTTCGATCATGCGTTAATCGTCCTCACCGTTATTCTATACGTGTTTGCCTAGACCAGTGCATTCATATTAAATGAATTTATATGAAACTTTTTTACAAAGTTTGTAGTTAGTATTCTTTTCCTATTGTTCATTAAACAACATAACCGACGTTAGCATTAAGTTACTTCTCCAATTGATCGTAACAATTCTTTAAATTAAGTGTTTGTTTTTCTTTGAGATTGACCAAGGAACATTTCCTGGCCATCCGCTCTGTTAGTTTCCATATGTTGCTAATACATAGAATATCACTAGAGTAGCATAACCGTAAGAAGTTTTAATCAAAATTGAGAACTTCGATCTATAGATTGAAGTTTTGATTAGATCATCTCAAATACCAAAGAAGAGCACAAATGTATTAAAAAATTCCTATCTTCACCATACAATGTCCAAAAAATAATGAAACTTTGTATCAGAAATAATCTAATCAAGACCTTTATATATACAATACTTCAACTGGATATTTACAAATATAATTTTTATATCGAACACTCGACTCCTATAAGAACAACAACCTAACAAAAAGCCGATATCTCGACCAAATCTAAGCAAGAGCGGAAAACTTTTCAGGGTTATACTACTCTAGTGGTCCCCTAAATATTAGCAATATATGGAAAAAAAAAGCGAAGTGAATCACCGGAGAATGTTTCCTAATACGAACATGAAAAATTCATAAGAAATAATTCGATTAGTGATGCATGAATACCTATAGTACATATAATTAATTATAATCAAAGAGATTCATCAAAGACTCAATGTTTAATGAAATTGGCGCTAAAAATACACTTGAATAATATTTCAACAAGTAATGTCAAATGATATGTTATATCGTCAAGAAATGAGTAAAAATATAGCAGCAATTATTGATGGTTATGTTAATATTATATACAGCGAACATGAAAAAGAAGATATATCTGATTTAACAATTCCTATAATTCAAAAGAAACTTAAAAAGATGAAGTAACATTTAAATGTTAATTTTCTTTCTAATAAATTCATATATTCGAGTTTTTATTTTATAAAGTGAACAAATAATATTTCTTCACGCTGAAAATCGTCTTTTATATAATTATTTAATATGGTATGAAAAAAAAATAATTCTAAATCATAATCAAGAAAAGAGAAATTCAACTAATACACTTGTATTAAGTAAATAAAATACAAAATACAATTTGTTAAAACTAAATCTTTGATATTTAGAAGATGATTTTCCACATCAAATTTTAAAACATAAAACTAAACAACCATTATCAATTCAAAAGAAACGTGAAATATCTGAAACAACTTTTAAAGTTCTTCTTGCTTATTCACAAAAATATGGTATTAATACAATACAATATGTTGATGAATGCATTGTAATATAATAAAAATAAATTATCTTTAAATTAAAAACAAAAAAATAGAATTTAATATATATATATATAGAATACAATGGAGACTGATGATGAAACAATAGAATATTTAGAACTTGAATTAATTACATTGAATAAATTTATTCAAAAAATTGATGAAAATCTACATAATACACAAAAGAAATTTACAACTGAAGAACTTTCTGCTTTCGTTCATGATCGAATTCGTTATCGAGTGAGTTTTCATAAAAAGGACAATCTTAATATCTCGAATAAGTTTCTAATACATCTATTCATAACAAATATTCAATAATTATTAAAATATTTAAATCTATGCTTTTCGAAGTATTTAGTTTAACTTACATACAAAATGCTTCAACGAATAATTTGTTTAAAAAAATTTTTTATAGAATGTTATAGAAACTGACCAAATACTTAATAAATATTCATCTTAGCAACATACCCAATGGAAGTCCTTGTTAACAAAATATCCGAAAATAACGGTTCTCTAATATTAGTATTAAAAAGCTCAGGCTTAATTATATCTTTCATGACTTAATCGGGAGATATTCTATAATGATTTGTTGTTCGCGGAATAAAAGAAACTTTTGCAGCAGCTGAATTATTTGAATAGTGACTCATTTCCAGAAACATCATGTCAATTTTTTTGTTCTGTAATTTTTGAAGATCGTTCACAACTTTGTAGATTTACTACTACAGTAGTTTACACAAAAAAAAATTGAAAAGTATCTGAAATACAGTCTAGATTTTACGTTTTCAAATGATAACTCATTTATACTTATTAAAAAATTTTCAGGATGCATTGAATGAAAGAGTACGTTACCATCATTAAATGAACATTGCATTATAACTTTAATATCATACAATAGAAACGACAAAAAACAGTTCGTCTTCGTTTTCATATTGATGGTATTGAAAAATCACTTCGAAAAGTTATATATATTTTTCTATTTTTATCTTTTATTATATATATATATAAAATATTTAGATTCGTCAATTAGTTGATACAGTAACAGAAGTAGATTTTGAACAATTAAAAATTGATATAGAAAAACAATTAAAAGAATTAAATATGAAAAATAAAATGCTTATATTTTATAAACGACAACAATCAGAAGCAAATATGAAACTTAATGCAAAAAAAGTTTTTAAATTTTTCTAAATAAAAATCTTTTTCTTCAAATATTTATTTATTTAGCCAGAATTATTTAAAGAAATTCGTACACTTACATTAATACGTAATAAAATTAATAATACAATTCAACAATTAAATCATTATAATGAAATAAAACAAAAAATGCAAGATGTACTTTAATAAAAAAAAAAACAAACTATTGACTTAAATGTTTATTTCTCTTTGTTATATTTAGGAAACTATTGAATATGAAAAAATAAATGATCCACTTCATGAAATGATTATATCTTATCGTGTACCATCTATAAATAATTATGTTGATTTAAAATCTAAACAAATAAATCTCTATCGTCAAATACATGCATGGAAACGTAAAGTTGAAATATCTGAACGTGAATTACATTTACGTCAAATTGAATTAATAAATTATCCAGAAAAAATTATTCATCCATGGAAATATCTTCAAAATCCATCATCTATTCTTTTCTATAAACATTACAAAATATTAAATAAACAAAATGAAATTCATACTAATACTATGATTAAAAATAAAATGAATATTTCTCTTCCTAAACTAAATAATAAATCAATAATAAATATTGATATGTAATTAATAAATGAATTAAACTATTGTTATGTTTTTCTTTTATTTCAAAGTCCCACGGAAAAATTCTTCCGAAAAAAACCGCGATAATCGGAGGTTAACCGCGGTTTTGTTCCACATTTTGAAAAACCGCGAAAGTCAGACCTTTTATGCGGTTTTTGGAAACCGGCGAAAACCGCGGTTAGACCTGCAAAAACTCAGCTCGGACCGCGATTTTCTCGGTTCTCACCGCGATTTTTCGCCGGTTTCCAAAACCGCATAAAAGGTCTGACTTTCGCGCTTTTTTCTTGAAAAATTTTTCCGTGGGGTAACTAATGTTTTTCGTGTAAATTCAATTTTTCATATAGAGCTATAATAAATTTTGAATAAATCAAAAATTAAGCATAAATATCTGTATTTTTGTATAAACCGATCCGATAGATTTGAAAGAACTTTTAGATTGATGAAAATCCGCAAAATCTATTCTATATAGTATGAAAAATTGTCTATAGATGATATACTATGTGAATATGAGCAAATGAAGAGTTTAGAAAATAATTGTCAGCATCCGATCTCATCATGCCAATAATGAAATTGTTGTCTTCTTATGAAAATTTCATTGATTTTCTTCAATCAAACCTGAGTTATTCAAAAAATATCAACTAACCCCGTTACAGAATTTCAAAAGACAGGACTTTTTGTTTTTCGATGAACTGAGAATTTAGCATTTTAATATAAAATAAAGTAACATATGAATAAACATACTATATAAAAATTCTTCAATTGTCAAGAAAATATCAGATCATTTCTTATCAAATGTAATTACATCAAATAAAAAGGTAACAATTGTCCTATACAAAATTATGACTACAGTAGAAGAAACTAATATATCACATTTCTTCTACATGTTTCATAGTTCTTTTCTTCATTAGACTATTGCTTAAAAATTGGTTCCTTCGATCATCATAAAATACTAATGATTGATGACAACATTATCTTGATTTGTCGATATCTAACATTCTAATATTCAAAGAGTACTTCATATTCTATTAAAAGAACATGATTTTACTAACATTCTTTACAAAAAAAATTTTTTTTTTTTCAACAATAAACACAATTTTCTTTATCTTTCAAGATGTGGACAGTCTAATAGTTGTCTATACCCGCGATATGCAAAATTCTTTTTCTTCAAATTTATGCATTACAAAATCTACATTGTATAATGAACCTTTTGATCAAACGCAAAAAAAAAGTTTTAATGAATTGTCTATATTGTTTTATCTCATTTACATTTAAGATAAAATTTAGATCTGTCTAGTAAAATGAATTATATTTATAGTTTTATTTTTATCGGTCATGTTAGACTTTACTCTTCATCAATATCCAAATTTATTTATTTCAATACAATGAATATCACTTACAAATACTTAGCACAAACACTTCTTTGAGTATTCAGAGAAAATTTTCAAGTGTTCAAATATTTGCAATACAAAAGAACATCAATTAGAACACTTTACCATTGTCAGAAATCAAAAAAAAAAGAGAGAGAGAAAGAAATACTTATACCATCTTTCTATTAAAATAACGTTATATATATGTAAGAAAACAAAATCATATTTCTTTATTTACTTCGAACTAATAGATGTATTCTTTATTTCTTAACATAAGTAAATATTTTTTATGGTTCCATTTATACATATATATTGAACAAATAATTATTCTCTAGATCAATAAACTAATGTGTCTTATGTTACTTATAATCTTTTATTTTCCCTTGTGAGAATGAATCTAATTTACTGATGAACGACACATAAACATAGCAAACAAAATGAAAATGAGTTGTTAACTATAGAAAGTAATCAATCGCACAATATGAATGTTCTCTCAATCAATAATAATGAAAAGACAAAAAAAAAGATCAATAACAACTATAAACATAGTTCTGTTTTTTTGTTTTTATCAATAAAAAAACAAAAGTTATATTTTAAAACATTCATAATATAAGATTTAAAATTTTTTCTTTCTTTTCATTCAAAATATGTTATTGTTATTCAATTGATGCAATCGGTCATCACCATTAATGATTCAAGTGAAGTGCTGACAAGAGAAGTAGATAAGATGTGTATAGACAAACCATCATAAAAATAACAAATGATTGATTGGTACCGAATAATCTCTCTCTCTCTCACGCTATTACACTTCCTGTTAAATACTCAAAAGCTTTCAGTAGCTTTCGTAAAATATAAAGCCGTTGTCAAATAAACATAACATCTAACAACATGCCTAATCCTAGGTATACTTTTCGCTTGTTATTGTTAATTCTATTCGACAAAATATATTGAACGTTTGAGGTAGCCTGGCGGAGTAAGAAAAAACAAAAAAAAAAGAATTTCGTTTGAACATTATTTCAACGAAAACAGAGATATACAAAGCCTATTATTATTATTGTCGATTTGTCTTCAGAGGTATGTCATGTCTTATCATAAGATTCAGCCAATTGTGTTTAGCTCTCGAATATAATAGACATCCGCTAGATGTTTATATTGATTTCATTTTACTTTAAATGGCTTCTATGTTGATAATACATTGTACGAACTCAAAATATATATATATTCATTTGGCTTAAAGCCAAAAAAATATGTTCATCAGATATAAAAATATGTATAAACCAACCATCTTTTTCTGTTTATTCAGTTGTCCGTTCTTCTGCCAGTTGGATCTTTTCGTACTCTTATTTTCTAAGGTCAGTATGTTTGGATTAATACATATATAGAAAGAAAAAAAAGAACAAGAAGAAGAAAAAAAATCTATCGATGTTGAACGATAGACGATACTCATATTTCTATCATTGAACAAATCATAGAGACAAGCGAGTAATATATAGTTTTGTTAGTATTGACCAAAAATAGCGTTTAGAAAAGAAAAGAAAAAAAAAAAAAAAGAAACAGGTCAATGTTCGGTCAAAAATCGAGAGAGAAAGAGAAATGTACATATGTGAACATGTCGCTTATATTAGACCATTGGCCGACTACGGTCGGATGCGACTACATATACAAGCTTGTGCTCGTCTCTACGTTTCTTTTTTTTTTTTTTTTTTTTGTTTCAACAACGACACGTAGCCAGAGAGTACATAGAAACAAAACAATATACAAAGGGTCAATCGCCGGGCCAACTCGTCTGTTGGTTCATTTGCATCGTTATTCTTAACGTTTATTGTCATCTACTATCGCCGAAAACCTCGTCGTTCTTTTGTCTTACGTTTTTTTTTTTTTGTTGTTGATTATATTGAAGTTTCTATTAAAAACCAACAAGAAAAGAAAATCTAATCAAGTTTATGTTAAAAAAAAAATGTACATATATTTATCTATATTAAAAAAAAGAAAATACAAATTAAGTATTGGATTATTTCATGGTGAGCTGTTCTCTCTCTCTCTCTCTCCTATCAAGTATGCATGCTGTGATTTGTCTTGTTTATTGTTGTCGTTGATGATTTTGTTGTTGTTATTTGTCATCATTGTTGATAAAAGAGAAGAGCTCTCCGATTCATATGATTGTGTTATTTAGTCTATGTAGATTTTGCAAGTTCATGACTAGATCTCACACTCATCCTAATTGAGAGCACCTTCACTTGATATGGACTATATATATATATATATGTATATAACATATTACTAAGGCTAAGTGGAATCATGGTTGTGGTTGAGAATGATTTTATTCCTCACCGGGTTCTACACTTAGCTTTAGTGATCATGTAACAAATATTCATTTAATAATTATAATATTAATCAAAATTTCGTTTGTTTTTCTTTTTTATTATTTTGGAAATATTGTTCTTTCGATTGAAGATTGTATAGCCGGTTAATTTGATTTGGAATATAAGATAAATCACCGGGTATAACACTCTTCCTTTGATATGTTCAATAATTGTCGATTTAATTAATTAAAAAAAATAAAAACGAGCCGGATGATTTTTAATATATTGTAGGAAGATTGTATAGCCGGTTACTTTGATTTTAATATAGTCACCGGGTACACACTCTTCCTTTTTCTGGCTCATATTTGTCGTCATTAATTATCAATCAATGATATTTTCTATATGGTTGATTATTAATTATAAGACATAAACTATTTAGAAAAAAAGCATAATTTTATGTTCTACGAATTATCGTAGAATAATGATATTCGCTTCTTATTTGTATTTCAAATATTGTATTTTTTTTATTTTTAAATAAATAAAAGAAACAGATTGATCAAAAATATGCATTAAGCAAAAGAAAAATCATTACATATACAATTATTTCCGTAAGTTACTTATTTTTTGAGTAAAACTACAGAAAATATATAAGAGTATTGTAATTTTGAATTTGTTGACAAATTTCTGATCTCTGAAATAGTAAATTTTTGCTTGTATATTTATAAATGATTTCATATACGATGAATTTTTTGTTTTGTGGATGAGCATTTATAACCATTAATTAACAGAGACAAGTGTGAAATATATCATATGATATTTGTTACTAACAAAAAAAAAAGAAAAGAATAACGTTTACTCATAGACGTTTAGCTATTCGTACTATAATTTATTATTTAGATCTATAATTTTAATTTCACTATGATATTTAACACTTTTTTTGATAATTGAATATAATACAGCATATGCTTCTGAAGATGATCTTGTTGTATATATGAATATAATATTTAGAGTTGATCGATGTCAACAATATTGTTGTTAAGGTTGGTTCAATTAGGAAATCATCTATCGCCAATATGCTCTGTAATATTATATGATTATATAGCTGATTCTAATAGTACCATGAAAACTATAATGAATGAAGGCAAAAGTTCTGCATCAATTTTATTTTTTGATCGAGCATATCAATGCAATAATGGAGCAACGTTATTTATTTTTTTGTTTTGTTGTTAGAAATAGCAATATGTTGCTTGTGCAAAAAATAAATAAAACAATTCGATCAGAAATGTTTCTAAAAGGTCAAAAGAAATCCTAAACATTAGGAAGTTCTCTTTTT